ACGCCAACGCAGCGGCCGCTTCGCCCTTCAAGCAGTCAAGTCGCCTCAACGCAAGCGAATCCGACCACTCAAGTACAAGCTTCAACAACATCGACGGGACAATCTGCGCAAGGAACAAGAAAGATCGTCAGCTGCATGGCACGACTGACCGACTCCTGCATCACAGAGTCACCACCGCATTACTCACCGGAAGAGCAACTCGACAACAGCACGCCTCGCCGCGAGTCACTTCAACCAAACCCGACGTATGCAGCCATCGCCCAAAGCGAGCCATTCGGAAAAGATACCTGGTTCTTGGACAGCTGCTGCGGACAGCACATGTGCTCTTCAGGACGATTTGTTCAACGTGAACACCAACTTCAACGCGAAGTCGTCATCACCGTCGCCAACAACCAGAACCTGCGCACACGACAAGGTGTGGTGCAACTTCGGTCACGAAAGACAAACGTAATACTGCAAATGTCTAAAGTGTTAATTGCGGAGGGACTCGGCTACAACTTACTGAGTGTCAGTCAACTGATGGCGAAAGGCATCCACCTTGAAGCAGATAGCACAACACAGGAGTTCAAGTTGTACCACGGGAGAGGAGGTCTCTACATCGGCAAGGCAGTCCTGAAGAATAACGTCTTCGTCTTCGACTTCGTCCCAGATCTCGGCATAGCTGACAGCGACGGAATCGTCACCTTCACCTTCTGGACACACCCACCAGATCAGTCCAGAAGGATTCTGGTACTCGCACACCATCCCTGAAGCAGAACGAACAAAAGCATTAGCAACAATTTAATCGGCAGCAGCAGAGACAACATCGGCAGTAGCAGAGACAACATCGGCAGCAGCAGAGACAACATCGGCAGCAGCAGATACAACATCGGCAGCAGAGACAACATCGGCAGCAGCAGAAACAACATCGGCACCAATCGCGGGTCCTTCAACTGCACCGGCTATAATCGACGACGACACTCCACCGACTCCTGCGCAGCAATTGAACCCAACACCACGAGAAGTACATCGAAGCTCAAACCTCACCGCAAGCTTCTACTCCAACTCCGACCTATACCGTCGCTCACCCGGACATCGAGCTGGCGAAGACATCTGGCACGCACGAATGGGACATCCAAGCAACACGGTTTTAAACAACACAATCAGAGCAGGCGTGCTCGATAAAGATTCACTGCTCCTAACCGACGGAAGCGAACTTCGACGAGCTCGCGGAACGTGCTTTACCTGCCCCGAATCTGACTTACCACATCGGCCGTTCGCTTCTCACCACAATCCCAGCGCACCAGCTTACGCACCACTCGAGAAAGTGTACAGCGACATCCTGTACAACCGCGAACCTGGACAAGGAGCATACAGCTACACCATCACGTTCATCGATGCCGCTACGCGTTACGTTTGGCACCTCAACCTACCGAGCAAGGACATGGCCTTCGAGGCCTTCGTCGCTTGGCTCCCAGTAGCAGAACGAGAATCAGGCGTGAAACTAAAAAGCTTCCAGTCAGACGGGGGAGGAGAATACACCTCACAGAGGTTCAAGCAGTACTTGGCAGAAAGAGGGATCAAGAGGCTCATCTCTCTTCCCTGCTCACCAGCAGCAAGGCGTAGCAGAAAGGATGAACAGGATTCTCCAGAACATCATGCGCAAACTGCTACGAGGCATGCGACTGCCCAACCACCAGTGGCCCGAAGCAATGGACCACGCTGTCATGCTGCACAACTTGCTCTCGTCATCATCGCTCCCGAACAACGCATCACCGCATCTGCTGTGGACAGGAAAACAGGGCAGCACAAAAATGTTAAGAGTTTTCGGCTGCATGGTACAGTACCGACCCCCATCTGCACGAGCCGGCCGATTTTCCCAACGCGCACAGTGGGGACTACACCTGGGCATCGAAAGAAATTACAACGCGTGGAAGATTTTCGACGTCCACTCCAAGGAAACAGTAGCAGCACGTGATGTCATTTTCTACGAACGACTCACCCTTCCGACGTACCTTGCCAACCTGGAAGAAGATCTGGACCCCACAGGTGGTTTCCGTGGTGACCGAGCCTTCGCCTCGGCAGAAGACGAAGCTGACTGGGACGAGCAGAACGTGGATGCAGCCTCTGAGGAAGCCAGACCTCTCCCTTACTGCTCCGTCGACGTCCCAATGGATGACGAAAATCCTCGCGAAAGCGCCAACGCCGAAGTATTTTACCACTTCGCCGACAACGGTTACGTTACACCTGCAGAAGTCAACACCAACGAAGCAGAACGCATAGGGCCCAACTTCATACTTGACCCAGAAGCAGGTGACGAAGCAGCTTATCCCGCGGACACAACACTCCCCCGCTACACACAGAGTGGCCTCCAGATACTCGGCCTCGTCACCGCGGTCCACGGCACGGACGTTCCTAAGGAGCCTGCCACGGTTCAGCAGGCTCTGGGGGGGGAGCGTAGGGAAAAATGGCGCGAAGTCATGGACAAGGAGCTGAAAGCACTGGAAGAACGGAACACCTGGAAAGTTGTTCCTATCGGCGTGGCACAAAACAAGACAGTACTTACCGGGAAATGGGTCTTCCGTGTGAAGACAAAGGCAGACGGCACCATCGACAAGTTTAAAGCGCGCTTGGTCGTACGCGGATTCGACCAAGAACATGGACGCGACTTCACCGAGACATTTGCCCCGGTCAGCCGACACACCTCACTACGAATCCTCCTCGCAATCGTCGCCATGAAGAAGAAAAAGCTACGGCAAATTGACGTCGCCAACGCATTCCTCTACGCACCTGTCGACGCAGAAATCTTCGTCGAACTACCACATGGCTCCAACGGAGAACCTAATCACGTCTGTCAGCTGCTGGAGTTATTGTACGGCATCAAACAGGCCTCGAGACTATGGCAGCAGTACCTACACGCTCGACTTATTCGCATCGGATTCCGGCAGCTACCGCACGACCAGGGCATGTACCGGCTCACGAAAGGCGACGACTATATTCTACTAATCGTCTACGTAGACGATCTACTCTACATCGGGTCGACCGACAACGTCACTACCTGGTTCGAAGGGGAGCTACAGAAAGATCTCACGCTTACAGTCGCATCTACCGTCACGCAGTACCTCGGCCTCAACATCCAGGAAGAAGAAAGCGCGATCTACCTCAACGCCGCAAAATACGCCGACACTATCGCCAAACGCTTCGCACTCACGCCGACCACCATCTCCACACCATACCGCTACACGACAGGAAATCACAAGGAAGGCTCCACTCCACTCAAGCCTGCCGGGATACGCGACTACCAGAGGAAGCTGGGATGCCTTCTCTTCGCGGCTGTCACCTGCCGCCCGGACCTATCATACTCTGCAAGTCATCTCGCCACCTACCTTAAAAAGGCCTGAAGCTGAACATATGGCGGAGCTCGACCGCGCTCTTCACTACCTCGTTAGCACTCTAACGATCGGCCTGACCTACTAAAGAACGGAACTACAACGCCTAAGTTAATCGGCTACGTCGACGCCGACCACGCCGGAGATTCTGACAACAGGCGCTCGCGCACAGGCTACATCTACCGCCTCGAGCCTATCGGACCTATCTCGTGGCAGTCGAGTAAGCAGGAATTAATCGCTCTCTCCTCAGCTGAAGCAGAATATATCGCACTCTGCTCAGCCACCAAGGAAGGATTGTACCTTCGCGAACTCTTGGAGGAAGCGAAGCTGGCTCAGTTACCCAGCTTCCCTCTGTTCTGCGACAACCAGTCGGCAATTCGCATAGCCAACAAAGACGGATTCGCGAACAGGACGAAGCATATCGCCCTGCGATATTTCTTCGTAAAGGACGAGATCGAGAAGGGGAGACTCGAATTATCCTACTGCCCCACGTCCGAGATGGCAGCTGATTACTTGACCAAGAAACTCGAAAAGCAGAAGTTTGAGTACTGCATGCTGCTGACTGGACAGAGCCACGTCACCAGCAGCGACACTCCAGAAGCGAAGGGGAGTGTTGGAAACAAGTAACTTAAGCGCCTCTGTCGTGTCGAAACACCAAGTCAGAAGCGAAGCGAAACATATCGAAGCATCAGCGAGTCAACCCTCGGAGGTTGAACAACCGCTGGAGGTTACGCGAAAGTCGAAGGTCAGCGACCTTTGACTTGACAAGTACAGCGCGACAGCAAGGACAAACAACTGACTCGCTATTGAGCAGTTGCCCGAGTCGTCACTGTATCGAACCGCAACAGCAATAGCAAAACGGTTAACCCTTCATATTCCCTTGTACTCTTATAAAAGCTTGTATCTCTTGTTATTAATCAATCTACTTTGCCCTCACACACCAGCGCAAGGTGGTTCACAACCTTTCATTAAGCGCTTCCGCTATTACATGAGTCCTACCAGGAGTTTAGTCCCGCAAAGATCCTAAGGGCTCCCTTCTCAGCCCAACAATGTAATTGTTGCAGCTAGAATATGCTAGCATCTATGGTGATTTTTAAGCTGCACTGATGAGGATCAGTAGAATCTGCAGGAGCATGGTATTCTCAAGAGTAAGTTGTTGATACCGGTATGATGTATGTATCGCACATCAGCTTGTCTACAGACTTTTCAGATGTCATACAAGACAACCTGTTTGTCCTTAAATTCTACCCTACACCTACTACACCTGCACTGCAGTGTTTTGTATTCGGAGCAACTACAGTGCCGTGTTTCACGCACTCATACTAAACCCCCATTACCTGTGCTATAATTGGGTCAAGAGTCCCAGGAATCCCCATTTGCAGACTCTCATCGCCCATCCACCCACACCCACTCCCACCCACACCCATCGTTGCATGACCCCATCCCCCCCCAGTCATCAGTGGTTGAACGGCCCCCCTCGCAGAGTCTCATACCCCCCGCCACCAAGCCCACCGCCCCCACCCCCTGGTCCCCCGGCAGTGGCAGGGCCTTGGGCGTTCATGCTCCATTTCTTGTACTGACTCCACCCCAGCATACCCATTGTTATCACTGCTGCTGCTCCCAGGGGAATCGTCACCGTCCAAACGGCCCTCCTCCTAGTGTCTCGTACCCACCACCAAACCCAGCAGACCCACCCCCACCCCCTGGTCCCCCGGCAGTGGCAGGGCCTTGGGCGTTCATGCTCCACTTCTTGTACTGACTCCACCCCAGCATACCCATTGTAATCACCGCTGCTGCTCCCAGGGGAATCGTCACCATGAGCACGACCATCAGAGTGTTGACTCCCGAGTCGTTCGGGGGAGAGGGAGGGGCGGTTGTGGTGGTGGTGGTTTTCGGCTTGATGATGGCTGAGGCGTTGTAGGAATCGGGGAGCATTTGCGGGACGGTGGTGTTGGGAATGCCGGCACCTGGAAACAGGAAGAAAGCAGGGGGGAGAGGGAGGTGGGAAGAGAGGAGGGAACGAGGGAAATGGTGAGACGGGGGAAACGGGGTCAGAGAATTGTGAGCATGAGTACGACCATCAGAGTGTTGACGCCCGAGTCGTTGGGGGGTGAGGAAGGGTGGGTACCTGCAAAGTAGACGACGAGGGAGGGGGGTAAGGGGAAACGGGGGTGGGGAATCGTCACCATGAGCACGACCATCAGAGTGTTGACGCCCGAGTTGTTGGGGGGTGAGGAAGGGGCAGTTGTGGTGGTGGTGGTTTTTGGCTTGATGATGGCTAAGTGTTGTAGGAATCGGGGAGCATTTGAGGGACGGTGGTGTTGGGGATACCGGCACCTGGAACAAAGGGGCATGGGAGAGTAGTGGAATGGGAAAAATATTAGTAAATGACAGTGCTTGTGTTTGTGGTGGTGGTGGTTTTCGGCTTGATGATGGCTGAAGTGTTGTATGGATCAGGGAGCATTCGCTGGACGGTGGTGTTGGGGATACCGGCACCTGGAAACAGGAAGAAAGCAGGGGGGAGAGGGAGGGGGAAAAAGAGACGAGCGCACGGGGGAAATGGTGAGACGAGGGGAATGAATGAGGAATCGGGGAGCATATGTGGGACGGTGGTCTTCGGGATACCAGCACCTGGAAATCAGGGGAGAGAGACAGAAGGGAGGAAACAAGGGAGAAATGGTGAGACTTGGGAAGGGATATTTGGCTTGAGGCTGAGGCGTTGTGGGAATCGGGGAGCATATGTGGGACGGTGGTGTTGGGGATACCGGCACCTGGAAAAGTGGAGGGGGCAGGGGGGGATGGGGGAGGGAAGAGGGGAGAGAACGAGGGACATGGTGAGATGGTTTGCTGCTGGTGCTGGAGCTGGTTCTGGTTATCAGCGTAAAGACTGCGACGATTTTTTTGAGGCGCCTCAAAAATGGTTTGCTGCTGGAGCTGGTTCTGGTTATCAGCGTAAAGACTGCGTAGGACTCGGGAGGATCTGCGGGGTGAGGAACCTTCCTAGGGGTGGGAGGGGAGGGCGGTGGAGGAGGAGGAGGAGGGGGGGGGGGGGGGGGGGGGGGGGGGGGGGGGGGGGGGGAGGGGAGGGTGGGTGTGAAGAGAGGCGGAAGGTACAGGGAGACGGGAATCAGGACTTGCAACAACAGGGCCTCACCAAAGCATAGACCAAACTGGGTAAAAGGTAAAGCTGGAGCCTCACCATCATCAGGAGGCGGAGAAGGCTTGGGAGCAACCACCGGCGGCATTGGCGCACACCTACTCTTTGGTCAACAGATTTCTACACATTCAAAGAAAAAAAAAAAAAACAAAAAAATGGCAAAAAGCTGGAGTCTCACCATCATCAGGAGGCGGGGAAGGCTTGGGAGCAACCACCGGCGGCGACGGCGACGGCGGATTCAGCGGGTCAATCGGGTCAGTCGGAGTCAACGGGCCATTCGCGCCGGGCGGCGGGTCAAACGGACTCGCAAACGGGTTGTTCGGATCGGACGGGTCCACTGCTCCCGCATTCGGCGGCGTCGTTGGCGGAATCTGCACCTTCGGTGTCGGTGCGGGCGGCAGCGTCGGCACCTTCGGTTTGGGCGGGAGAGTCGGCACTTTCGGCTTTGCCACTGGCGGTTTTGGCTTTTTTATCAAGCTCGCTTTTGGGTCCTTTCGACTGGGCTCTAATGGGAAACTCGCGACTCTGCCTTTAAAAGGGTTTAGCGTAAACGAGTCGGTGGTTGTTCGTTGCGGAACGGGGATGAGATCGAATGGTAACGGGTTGACATTATCGGGTATGAGGGGGCCCACTGGGGGTGCTGGTGACGGGTCAACCGGTTTCGGATTGGTGATCTTCGGCGGGAATGATATTACCGGGGGGGTTTTGACCGTGAACGGGGGAACGATTGTAACGGGAGGTAAGTTGGCGGCCGGATCGCTCGCGATTGGCGGCGACGAGTCGCCCTTTTTCTTCCCGTGCTTCCCCTTCTTTCCGTGCTTCCCTTTACGGCTCGATCCCCTCCGTCCTTTCTTCCGCCTGCTTGATCCTGAGCCGTTGGATGAACCCCTTTGCCTCCGGTCCCCATCTCCCTCCGTGCTTCCGTCATCTGGGTAGTCGCCTTCGTTATAGTCACCCTCGCTACCGTCGCCCTCGCTATAGTCGTCGTCGCTAGAATCTCCATCACTGTACTCGTCCCCTCCGTCTCCAGAGGAATCGCTGTTATAGTCACCTCCATCCCCGCTATAATCGTCGTAGCTGTCATCCCCGTTACTGTCATCCCCGTTACTGTCGTCAACACTCCGCTTCTCCCGAGCATTCATATCGGAGTAATCGCCGTCGTCACCTGAACCTTCGGTAGACCCTGATCCCTCGCCGTCGCCGCCATCACCACCATCCCCATCGCCGCCCCCGTCACCACCTCCGTCGCCGCCGTCGCCGCCACCATCACCACCGTCGCCACCTCCGTCGCCTTCGTCGCCACCTCCGTCGCCTCCGTCGCCACCTCCGTCACCTCCGTCGCCACCTCCGTCACCTCCGTCGCCGCCGTCGCCGCCATCACCACCACCATCACCGCTGTCACCACCGTCGCCGCCTCCGTCGCCGCCTCCGTCACCACCCCCGTCGCCGCCACCACCGTCGCCCCCGTCGCCTCCGTCGCCGCCCCCGTCGCCACCTCCGTCGCCTCCCCCGTCGCCATTATCGCCATCAGAAGAAGACTTTTTCGAATGCGACGAACCTTTCGAATGCGACGAGCCTTTCGAATGAGAACCAGAGGAGGACTTTTTCTTCTTTCCTTTCTTTTTGGAACTTTTTCCTCCTCCTCCGTCTCCTCCTCCGTCTCCGCCTCCGTCCCCGCTGCCGTTTCCGTCGCCGTTTCCGTCGCCACCGTCTCCGCCTCCGTCCCCGCTGCCGTTTCCGTCGCCGTTTCCGTCGCTTCCGCTCTCGCCGTCTCCGTTTCCGTCGCCCGATGACCCGTCGCCGTCTCCCCGCGCATAGCGCTTCTTTGAACCCTTTGTCTTTTTCTTCGACGAGCCGCTCCCGCTACCTTCCCCGTCTCCTCCGGAGCTCGAACCATCCTTAGAGCTTTTCTTTGATCCCTTTTTCTTAGAACTCTTTTTCTTAGAACTCTTTTTCTTCGAACTCTTTTTATTAGAGCCCTTTTTCTTCTTCTTTCCAGAGGAAGACGAGCCTCCGTCTCCTCCGTCGCTCCCTCCTCCGTCTCCTCCGCCGCCCCCTCCCCCATCTCCGTCACTTTCTTGGACACTTTTTCCGTCACTTCCTCCGTCGCCTGACGAACCTCCGTCACCACCTCCGTCGCCGCTGCCAGAGGAAGACCGGTCCCCGTTAGAAGAGGATCCGCTATCGGACGAGCTTGAGCCGCTATCGCCACCGTCCGACGAAGAGCTCTTTTTACTCTTCTTCTTTTTCTTGGATCCAGATGAAGAGGAGGAAGAAGACGACGAATCGCCGTCATTCCCGTCGCTGGAAGAAGACGACGACTTTTTCTTCTTGCTCTTTCCTTTTTTCTTCTTAGACGACGAGGACGAGGAGGAGGAACCTTCGCCGTCTCCAGACCCCGACGAATCACCACCGTCGGATCCTGAATCGGACGACGACGAGGAACCGCCGCCGCTGTCAGAGGACGAATCCGAAGACCCTGATGAATCTCCTGAAGAATCTCCTGAAGAAGAATCGCCGTTGCTATCAGACGACGATCCGCTGCTCTTGGAACTTTTTTTGGATTTCTTCTTTTTAGAAGACGATGACGATGACGAAGAATCTGAGGAAGAATCCGAAGAGGAGGAAGAGCTCTTCTTTTTCTTCTTTCCGCTGGAGCTGGACGACGAATCAGACGAGGACGACGAGCCTGACGATTTATCGGACGAACCGCTGGAACTTCCGTTTCTATCGCCTCCACCATCCCCATCGCTCGAAGAAGATTCTGACGAGGACGACGATTTTTTATCTGACGATGAGTCGGAGCTTCCAGAGTCTGACGACGAAGACGACGAGTCGCCACCGCCGCCGTCGCCACCTCCGTCGCCACTGCCAGAGTCTGACGACAAACCGTCGCCAGAGTCGGATGACGAGGCTAGTTGCCGTGCGACAACTTCAAGGTGCTCCTTGAGTTTCTGGGGGTGGGCACGATTGGGAGCAAGCAAAAAAATAAATTGATGACAAGATGTAAGGTGTACGTATTTATATGAACTTTATGCAAAATGTTTGAGGAGGTGTACGAATGAAATGCAGTGGTTAATTTCATCAGAATGGCTTCACAAAACGTCGATCGAATTCGGTTCTTCAGTTTGATCATAACGTACCTCAGATCGACGCTTTTTGGTTCCTACAACTGCATCATCTCACCTTTGTCTCTGATATTGATGTCCGTCCATTCGACAATTGCCACGTATCCATGTCTCCGGCGGCTCCTTCATAACTTCTTGCAGCGTCTGAAAGGAACGCGATGAGAGGAGAAGGGGAAATATTGCGTTCGGAACTAGAGTACCGGCACCATTCTTGTAAGGAGGGTAGCACATACTCAAATGCCTCAGTTAGAGTAAATCGCTCCCACGGGAACCTGCCTTAGTGTTTTGTTCACCGTTGCCTCGGTTGCAATGTACACCGATATAATCACACCATCAAACTCCAACTTAGCTACTTCAAGTTGAAAAGCTTATGCATCAAGAACCACTTTCTCCTCCGCTGTTGTATACGTTGGTGAAGTCCTGACAATTCCCTTGTTTCACGGGGAAGAGTTATATCTTTACCTTGACTTTGCGCGGGAGTTGCGGCGTGGAGGATGATAAGCACCGTAACGAGTAAAACAACGTCGGAGGACATAAACAGGCCCCTCCCCTCTGCTTTCCCCATGATCGCTAGCTCAGCTAAACTTTCAATTGAACTGTGTCTCCTACTATTCTACTCCATGCCACGGCGCCTCGAAGAAAAAAAAGGCCTCCGAATGTGCCTCAAACGAGGGGACGATGCCGACCTCAACCCGACAGTACCGTAATGCCTTATCTCTGTTTGAGAACCCTATGCACCGATGCGACTCGACGACGCTTGCTAATCAAATCGATACGTTCGGTCTGGTCGAGAGAGACTCGATAAGGCGAGCCTTGCTGCGTCGCTCGCCAGGGAGGCCAGAAGATCGAACGCAAGCGCCCTCGAGGCAATACTTACGAAAAAGGGCGGCAGGATTGATTGTAACAATTACACTCTACTGGCTCTGCTGTATCGGGTTTGACGATCTCTGACGAAGGGCAACTGCAATGCGCTTGGACGGAACAGAGATAGCAGACGGGAGCAGTTCAGCGCTACTCTGAGAGTCTAACTGCAATGCCTATTCGTCTGACTGAGACAACGAGGATCAGACTGGTCGAGCGAGACTCGAAAATCCGGTCAGTCGCCAAGGGCTGGGCGTGGTTGAGAAAAGCGACTGAATCACGTGCACGTGAGAACGCGTTCCGGAAGACGTGCAAAGGCGATGCGAGATGGCGGCCTACTAGCACGCCAAGGGTGCAGGCTGGAACCGCGACGAATGACGTGGTCGTGATGAGCCAAGGGGCTATATGAGGGAGGGATTGGTGGTTGTGACTTCTTGCTTGCAATATGTTGCGAGAGTGCGAGGTGGTGTGGGTGGAGTGCAGAGAGAAGCAGCCCAACCTAAGTGAAGGTTGCGTGTGTTGCATGCTGAGAAAGACCACAGCTCACGACACCAACGCAACCAAGGGCTGGGAACGTGCGGGAGGGGAAGAAATTACTGGATGTGCGGGGGGCCAACAGAATTGGCTGGTCGTTGGGTCTCACGATGAGGAAAGAAATTGGTGCAGGCAATGTGGGATCGAATCGCACATTGAAGTTGGAAAAATAGCGCTTTGGGAAGGTGGTTTGTTGACTCTTTCGTGGTGTAGGGTGCCATGTCAGACGCTGGCTGCGCCTTTTGATCGCACGTTGCGGGACTCACGGTGAGCCTTCAGTTTCGGTCAGCGCAGGTCTCGTAAGAGGGCAACGTGGACAACACTCTGTCGAAGCTACACCAGACGTATATTTTCCTGCTAAGAGGAACACACAAACAGAAGCAACAACGCACCCTGAATAACGCACCCTGTTAGATGGCGCATGGGCTTATACTGTGACGAATACGCCTATAACTGGTTATCGATTATCGAGGCATCCTCGTTGCAGATTCGCGATTCGCGCTCGCTTCTCCGATCTACAACATTGTTCACTGTCCTTATAGAGTATATGACTGCGTGACTTTATTTTGCTTCTTTTACATGAATGTGCACGTGATTGTACACGACACGTATTGTGCTTCTCTTATAAGCGCTGGGGATTGCGTGTTGTGAATGTGCATGAACAGCACATACCTCAGGCTGGACTAATATTGCTTTTGGCATCATTTTAGTCAAACGTTTGTTCCACTGCTGGATGTAAATGCTTGAGTTGTGAAGCATGGTGATTCATCCCAAACTACTGCTGAAAAGCTCTGTTTGGGACTGTATGAAGACGAACACATACCATAGGTTGAAACCAACAACTCCAAAAACTCGGTTGTGCTTTATACCAATGAACAGCAAAAAGCTACCACCGGGTCCTAGATCTCTAGCTCAATGAATGAAAAAAATCAGAAATACCGCTGAAGGTCAAGGTTTGCAGAGCAATGGATATAAAGATTATGGTGGTTTGCTCAGAAACTTGTAAGACTGAATTTGTCAACACGTGCATTTTCAGCGGATTGACAGATTTAACAGTGGTAATCATCATTGCAAACCAAGACTGGGACCGCAACGGAACAAAAGACGAGAGGACAGTGGAGAAACGGGAAAAGAAAGGGAGTGAGTGGGAGAGAGCGGGAGGGGGGAGGGAGAGAGGGAGAGAGAGGGAGAGGGAGAGAGGGGGAGGGAAAGGGAGAGGGAGAGAGAGAGAGAGAGGGATGAGGGAGAAAGGGAAGGAGACAGGGAGAGAGCACGGGTGAGCTAGTGAATGAGAGGCCAAGGGTGGCCTGATGAGGGGTCATTATCGTAGTAGCTCGAAGCTAGGTTGTGCGCAGAATGATTGTTGATTGGGTTCATAAGTTGATCCCGTCAACTGCCCATTCCCCGCATATTCTGTTCTTGCAAAACACTCATTCAGTTCACAGGATAGGTAGCCTGTCTCTGAACACACTCGGTTTTGCGTATAGTTGATTCAGAAGTCAAAAAATGCTACCAAATCTGAAATGCACCACCTAGGACGGAAACACAAAATGATAAAATGGAAACAGTGAAACGTGGATGGGGTCTCGAGAACTCAGAAGGTTATACAACCAGGTACA